CCCCCCATGATGTCGGAAGAAGTGATGATTCAAGTAGGGGTGCAATGATTCAAGAATGGGTGCGATAGAATTTACAAGGCAGCGGGAGGGTTGGCTGGGGTGGCTTCCCCTATGATGTTCGAAGAAGTGCATACATACAGACATACATGAATTACACAGATTACCTAAAATAACGTATTTTGCAGCATTTTCTCGCGAAATTGGACGATATTGGACGCTCGAAAAAGAGATGATTCAAATAGGGGTGCAATTCAATCTCTGCAAGAAATCTAAAAAGTAGCGGGGGGGTTGGGGGGGGCGGCAGCCCCCCCCCCATGATGTTTGAAGAAGTGTTGATTCAAATAGGGGTGCAATTACTCCCCCCATGATGTTCGAAGAAGTGATGACTCAAATAGGGAGGAACTGGTGATGCTGATGATGCGGGAAGCCAAATCCAAGAACCAATGGACGGGTGCAAAAGCCAAAAAGCCCAGAGAGGAACTGTGAAATCAGAGGACGCCAAAAGCCGCATAAACCAGCGAAAAGCCGCAAAAGCCAAAACGAAGAGGAACTGGGAATGCAGAGGATGCGAAAAGCCAAAGCCAAAAAGCCACCAAAAGCCGCATAAACCAACACAAAGCCGAAAAGCCCAGAGCCGAGAAGCCAAAAAGCCAAGAAGCCAAGAAGCCGAAAAGCCAAGAAGCCAAGAAGCCGAAAAGCCAAAAAGCCAAGAAGCCGAAAAGCCAAGAAGCCAAGAAGCCAAGAAGCCAAGAAGCCAAAAGCCAAAAAAAAAAAAACGTAAAATAAATACCCCTCCGTTTCAAAGTGTTCGAGGCGTTCCCGAAAAAAAGATCATGCCAGGAATGGCCATCGTTAGTTCATTGGTTGCCGGCAGTTGGTTGGTTTGGTCATCCCCTGCCCAAGGGAAATTGCGCCATCTACTCTCACGCCCGTTGCAACCTCAATCGCAATGACAATGGCCAAGGTTGCCCAACCAAAAACCATCAAAACCCTCGAGTTTTTATTAGTTTTTGAAACCATGGACCAATATTGCTGCCCCTGCCAGTGAAATGAGGGGAATGAGATCCGATTTCTGCCTCCTGGCACTTCCGCTGCAAGCCTTCCACCGCCTTCTGCCAGCGCCTGTCGGTTTGGGTCCCAAGAGAGAATTTCAGTAGGGCCGGGAGACTTGAAAGCCGGATCAGGAGGGAATCATTGTAGTGCAGTTCAATGGAGGTTGTGCACAACGACTCCACAAATTTCAGCAATCGAATCAAGCCATGGACATTGATCTTTGATGGGATGGCTAAATATCACGATATGTGCCAATCAATTAGCGAATGCCTGGAAGGCCTCTCTGAAATCCTCAGCTCCTTCCTAGTTTGCCATGGTCATCATTTTTGCTAGGTGAGGCTCAAAACTTGCATGTCACTTGGAACGGCCCATTTCATCCCCGGCGCAAGCAACCGGCCCTGAAATCAAGCAGTCCGAGGTATGGGCAATACGGCGACGGGCTGGAGTTCAGAGTGTAGCGCTGTCGCAGCGCCCACTATAACACCCACCTCCTCACGGAACCCCTTCACCAGACGCGCCTTTTGAGCTCCTGCTTCTCCTGAGGCAAGACCGCAAAAGAGTCTGAGATTCTCGCGCGTTTGTAGCTCTCCCGATATTCCAAAGCGGCTCAACAGGTACTGGTCCCGTCGCCCAAGTTGAATCATTCCACTCTCGCTGCGTTCAACGGGAGTTTCCTTGGTGCGAAAGGAACATTCCACACATACCTCCATGTGTCCCACTAGGAGTGAGGCGTGGAGATCAAGAACATGGCAAGCGTGGTAATTGTTGCGGCGCAAGGTACCCTTTTGCACCCTTTCCTCCACAGCCTTTGCGCAACCACCAAATGACTGGGGACATGGCCACCAAATAGCGTCACAAAGGGTGAGAGTCACAGCTAAAAACCAAAGGGTGGATCACACCAATCGCTGTAAAAGAAAATGCCAAAATGGTGAACAACACACCAAAGAAAAACCTGCGAAGGGCCCCCCCACGAGTTTTCACTTGACCGAACCCTGCCAAGCACTCCCTGCCTCGATAATGCCGGCTGACCTGCGCCGCACGGTTGGCATCAAAGAAACCCGTTGGGTGTTGTCGTAAAAGGGGAAAGACCCCGATGAACGGCGAGTTGACCTCTTGTTAGAACAACCCCAATTTGTGGACGCGCCCCCGGCTTCAAGATCCCGGACCTGCGCTGTATTGCTGCAGCAAACCGAGTAGTCATTCTTCATGTGTGCAACCATTTGCCTGTAAGGGTACGTGGATCCTGGCCAGTGCGTCCGCATTGAGTGTGTGAAATGTGAGGAAACAGCATTGGGCACCGAGCGGATGAATTATCCCCTTTCGCAGAACGTGCACGTCTGCTTGGCTGCTTGGTTGTTTTGTGAAAGCACTTTATTGCAGCCCTCGCAAGCGCTGTACTGGGAAGTGATGGAATTCAGTAGTTTCTCTGAACTCTCTCAGCACATGACTTGCTTTGGCGACTTTGCTGCAACATAAAACACTTTGAGACTATTATTCACCGGACAGTACCAGAAAATCGCTACTTTAAAAGTATACTCCCACCAGATCAACCATGTGGGGAATTGTCCAGAAGGACAATCTCAGCAGGTAGTGGTGCTTGTGAATAGTTCTGCATAGATGGAGGCAAAGCGGTGCCATTCCATCATTGCGAGGCACCTGGCGCCGTCGATTTTGAAGGACTCCAAATTACGGGCACCATGTCGATTGCCTGGACTTCGTCGAAGGCTCCACTCAAAGACCTTGGAATCGATGTAGTAGTTGGTGGTGCTGCCTTGAAGGTTCGCCACAGCAAGGCTGTGCCTCAGGGCACTTCCTTGTGGCAAACCTTCAAGACCTCCTGCAGTTGCGAAATGCTTGAACTTCTGAGCACCTGAGATGATAATTTGGATCTTGAAATTCGACCCAGCCCAAGTAGCTCCTTCTCTGTACCTGGCCAAGGCAAGAAAGTGAGTTCCCTGGACTTCGAAGTACTCCCAATGGCTGGCTCTCGCTGACGCTCTCAATCTCTCATAATTTAGATCTTCTGGCTGGAAGCGAGACATTTTGAAATTGCCAAGTACTGCGTGGTGCCCATGATGAAGAGCTCCATGCTGTGGGCCGACTCGGTAGGGATCAAATGCAGGTCCGTTCCACTTGAAGATCTTGGAGTTGATAACGCTCAGTCCATCTTGATGATTGGCAAGGGCAAGGAGATGTTCGCCTTGCGGAGTCTGAGCGTACTCCGCGTCCATAGGTACTGAAAGTCCGCAAAGGTAGCTCCATTCCACTTCAAGATCTTGGACTGAGTAGCCTGAGGTGCCGCCAGGTTATTGATCTGTCGACCTGTTGCTCCCTCGGTATCAATGGTTTGCTCTTCCACCCTTTGATCTAGAGCTGCTGTTCTACTTGAAGACCTTGGAGCTGGCAATGTAGCTGACAGGCTGAAAGGGCTGCCAGAAGGCACATTTGTAACGAGGCACTGGTCTCCGATCTCAACGAACTCCAAGCCCGACACGTGCCTGTATTTGAAAGGGTCTGCACTTCTCCGCGCACTTGGCCGCGAACACACTGGAGCAGGCCTAGGACAAGATCTACAAGTAGTAAGGCTGTGCTGCCATGCTCAGCGTTTGCTGGCAGCGCAGGTAAAAAGCCCCGCCTCCGTTGAGGCCCCGACCCTTGCGCAATTATAAACTTGAGCCAATGAACTCTCTCAGCAAATGACCGCAATCACCCAGGCAAGTCAAGCTTCTGAGCTCGTGAGATGAAACTCTGTCACGCAACACATTACAAGTTCCACTTGGATTACCCCACCAAAAGCACACTCACCCCAACAAAAGGAACCACCACTTCAAATTGCAAAGTTGCCCCACAACTTTCTGAAACCATGAAACGGGTTCTATGTAGGGAACCCTAGAGATGCAAGCGCCCTAACCGATAACGGCACACGGGGCGTCAAACCTTCTCCCAGGGTTCCGGGCTGGCAGGCGCTGATGCCCCGCCGCACCGCCGTGACGCAGGTCTCTGCCAGCTCCTGTGAATCTAACTTGGACGGTGGGTTATGACTAATGCAAGTGGACAGAGTGGACGGGGCATCCTACTTGGTGCTTGCAATTGTTTGTTTCAAGGGATACTTGGATCGTCCCACGGCTATGGTCATTGCACGTGTGACAGTGCTTGGCTGACTATTGGGTACAGCCTCACGTAGGAAGCACTCAATTGGCTGAGATCCGCGAGCCCGGATTGAAACGCCGCACGGCCATGGCAGAGCGGCAAACACACAGAGCGTCAGAATATGTCAAGCGAAATAGTTGCAGGGCCAACAGAAGAACCATGGACAGGTAGATAAACCCCAAATCTGATTTTGAGTGGCTTCGGGTTCAAACATGAAGAAACACATTCATGTTGAATCTTGGGCTTAGTAGGGCTTAGCAGGGCGTAGTAGGCTCAATCATATTTGTGCTTCGAGTGTTAGCAAGACTCGGCAACTCTCAGTAAGACATGGATGGCCAGCACTCAAAATTGATCGTGAGTGCTACTGAGTCTTGCTGAGTAGTTGGAACTCTAATGATTCCTATGTGTACTGTGATTTGTACTGTGATTTGCTCAGCGGTCATTTGTGCTAGCTGCGCCGCACACCGAACACCTGTGAATTGAACATCAGCGGATGTCGACTAGTAGCACTCAGAAGCACTCAGCAGCAATCAGCAAGTGCTCATTAGCATTCAGTAAGCACTCAGTAGCTGTCAAAAGGCACTCAGCAGCGTCAACAGGGGCAAAAAAGGCACAAAATCATGTGGGTGCGAAGGGACATCAGACAGAAAGCCAGCCATTTGGGTGTCCGTATTAGGGCTGAATGCTTGTACACACTCGACACTGAAGTTGACATGAGACCTGAGCAGAACTCCTTAACACTCAGTAACACTCAAACAGCACAGTTTTGGAATCCCGACTCAGCAAGCACTCAGTAGCACTCAGTAGCACTCAGTAGCACTCAGTAGCACTCAGTAGCACATAGTAGCACTAAGGACCTCGCAATCACCTCCCAAAAACAAACCACATGGGCGGTCCAAACTCAGCAAGCATTCAGTAGCACACAATAACGCTTCCAGCCCCAGGCAAGCTTGATTTCCAAACCTTTGCTATGCAAAGTTGGAGCGGCGTGCCCCATGCAAAGTCCTTGCTGGGCTCAGTAGTGCTCAGCAACACTCGGTGAGTCTTGCTGAGATTTTGACATCTGGGAGGGAGGGGGGGGTCAACTAACGTATGAATGAAAGTCCGTCGATTTGACAAATAACGTCTCAAGCTGTTTGGATTTCTTCCTTGACTCGCCGAAATGTTGAAGCCAGGCACAAGAATTTGAATGTTGGATTCTCAGACCTTAACCTCCCAATTCTGTAGGAATGCTCACAATGTCATTTCTCTGCTTGGAGACTTAAAGGGACACAACATGGACCGCGGGAAGGTCCAATGGAAAGAGAAGAATCCAACTTGAGGCACGTCCGATCTCCGTGGCGCCTTCTTGGTGTGCGTAGACAAAAGAAATTCCAGGGTCCTGGCCAGCAAAGACTTAGCTGAAATGACGCCGGCACCCAGAATGCCAGCTGTATAAAAGTCACACACGACCTGTTGGCACTCCATGTATCCACCCAAGTGGGACTAAAGTTGTAGCTGCGAGTTTCGGTGAACAGTTGTTTGTATGTTGCGAATATTTTTTCTACTCCCATGGCTTGCAACAGAAACACGTGAGTCAAACACGTGCAGCATGCCTGAACCGAGTGGTCGAGCCAACAGAAGCAATGCGAGAAACGGGTCCTTTCTGTCTGCGCATAAGGCTTGAGGAAGGACACGGCCGCCCTTGCGGCCTAGCACGGAGCAGCTCGAGAAGAAGTCCGTAGACTATAACCTGGCTTGTTCGTAGACAACCGACCAAACAAACTTGGCAAATTCAAACTTTCAAAAAAACCAAAGGCCCTATCCTTTAGATAGGCCCAGCTAGGCAGGCAAAAAGCGACCTTCTTCCGCGAACGAAGCCATGAGCCTACAAATAAAACCAGCACTGGAACAAAATCACGCGCACGTCCACCAACCAAATCAATAGCAGCAAAAGTGCAGGCAGGCCCACTTGCGCAAACCGCAAAAAAGACTTGGCTGTATCTCTGGCTGTTGGACGCATTGGACCCTGAAGTCTGAGGCGCATCCCTGAAGAATGGCAATGGGTTTCGGCCGGAGACCCAAAATGGGGATGCCTTCTATGTGTTTCCCTAGCATCTAAACCCCTCCCCCCCCCCCACAACAAAAGAAACTAATCCCACGTGCTGTGGGGTTGCTGTTTGGCTTCCCTTTTTGAAAGTCCAAACTGGGGATCCTTTCAACCAATTTTCGTCCACAAGGCGCTCCCGTTGCCTGGAAAGCTGCCTCCGGCACCGCCCAGATCTGGAGCGCCTAGCCAAGGATCCCCGCCCTTGAGCGCAGAAGAACCTGCCCTACGCGTCAAGGTCTTTGTTTTCTGGGTTTGGTACCCGTTTCACCATGGCAAAATAGAGAAGCTAAAAGGAAAGAACTATTGTTGGGGTCCTCCCAATTTTCACACATACCCATCAGACAGGACCCCTGGAGGGGGAGGATCTCCATTGAAAGGGTGTTTGTGTAAATCCCCACCATCATGTCCACCAAGGGGTTCTCCATGAAGATTCATACCCAAATCATTGCGGCAAGAGGTCGTTCTCATTCGTGCGGTTCATGTCCCACGACCCGCCGGCTGCGGCAACTCTTCCTTCTGCCCACCTGGTCCAAAGCCTGCAGCACAGGTAAGAACTCCTCCACCAGCGGGCGACCCTGCAGGTCCTGGCGCGGCTATGTGCCGAAGGGAGACCCCTGTAGGCGGTGTCCTTCTGGTCTCCTGTTGAATTAAAACGGCTCCAAAAAGATACCCTCCTGTCCACGTTGCCATGAAACCCACAGAGGCGCGGTCCATTTTAAAGGAACATGCTCCAAACCAGGACTCCTCAGTCCGATTTCATGTTAGTGGACATGTTAGTGGACAGGAGGGGAACCCAAAAATAAGCTATCCTGAAAAAACACTGGGCCTCAGGGGGTGGCTGAGCTACTAGCGTAACGGGTGCTCCAAAAGTACAAGTGCGTGCAAATTCCCTGGTCAAATCGCCTGGTCATCTGTGGAAAGCCCTCCAGAATAAAGGTCCGAGTTCCCTTTGACCATCAGCCAAATCAAGCTCATTGATAGAGCTTACAATTTGTAGATTCTTGGCAAGCCAAAAAACTCCCTAGGTATCATATGCATGTGTGTGTGTGTGTGCGCGTGCCCTTTGCGTGGAACGATGCAAATCTTCACCACTAAAAGCTAACTCCTTGGTCATCACTCACTGGCAGACCACAAGGCTGGCGGACAAAAGGAAGAGGGTGACTTGCTCGCTTGTTTGCTTCTCCGCCTAGCCAAATTGCTGCATGCTGTGTGCATCATACTAGGCCACGTCTGCGTGTTGCCCCCTGTGTTGAACTCCGAGGGCGTTCAGAAACCAAAACCCCAAACCCTGCCCGAAACCTCTTGCTTCTGGGTGGAAGACTGGAAGACCTATTCCCTTGCTAGAGCACAAAGCCAGTGCCCAGTCGCCTCACACAGTGCAGCAAGGTCATGTTGTGCCTGGCAGATTGAGTAAATCCCCGCCAGCCTTCAACGCCTCTCAATTCCATGGGCGGCTGCGGGGCTCTCGATCAAAGCAACTTCAGCCACGAGGATTGCTGCTTTTCGGCCATGCCTGCTGGACTTCCTGGGCCCTCTCAAAACAGAGGGCCGCTTTGGAATACCGGCCGGACTTTGCCGAAAGCAAACTCCTCAGCACCAGCTGGGCTTCTCCCATGGGCTTCCTGTGTGGGAAGGGTAGGAAATTCGTGTAGAAACTCCTAGGGTGAGGCACATCCCGCCTCGGAGTCAGTGCAGCTGCGCCTGATTCGCGTGATTGCGTAAACGCTTTGCACCAGCCCAGCACAGCGTGTGAGCTTTGCGTACAAGTAGTCCCCAATGGGCAAAGGTTGGGGACCTGCGAATACTTCATAATCCCCAAGCAAATCAGCTCCCCTCAGGAACGAGGTAACCGAAACAACCGAAGCGACATCCGTTTCAGAGAGGAAATCTTGGAGCACCTTGCGCACAAAGCAATAATTTGACCAAATAGAAAAGGATCCTCTTTCAGGCCGATCCGGGCAGCCTGGGAAGGTTGAGTGCAACACGCTCACGTGGCTAAAAAGCATATGGGCGCATTACAAACATCTGGACGATTTCAGCTTGCCATTGCACTTCAAGCTGTCACGCACTTCAGCTGCCGCTGGTGCTGCACTTCAAACAAACAAACAAACAAACAAACAAACAAACAAACAAACAAACAAACAAACAAACAAACAAACAAAAAAACAAACAAAAAAACAAACAAACAAGCAAACAAACGTACAAACTAGCAAGCAAGCAAACAAACAGCCAAGCCAAGCCAAGCCAAGCCAAGCCAAGCCAAGCCAAACCAAGCCAAACCAACCAACAACAAAACAAATAAACACAGTCCGCAATCTGAATAAGATTGGCCAGTTTGGCACACTATCAATAAGGTTGGTGTCCCCTTGTTGGTGAGACAAAAAACAAAAAATAAAACTGCAAAAAGAACAACAAGGCGTGGGAGAAAACACAAGGCTCGGGTTTCACCAGGCCCGTAGCCTTTGGAAGCGGGGGCAGTCAGCGGCGTTTTCCGGATTTGTCCTTCAAGCCTGCCGTTGGGTGCTTGCAACCGGTGGACAACGCCTCTCAGCTCAACATTGTGCAACAGTTTAGTGGCAGCTTCGATTCAGGAACCAAAAGAAAACCGCCATTTTGTCGGTAACATCAAAAAAAGACAGATCCAATTGAATGCCTGAAACAAACGACCCCTGGGCAGTCGGCCGCTAACCCAACGCATCTGCCGCCAAATTTCTCCCTGCGTGCCTGGTTCTAGCAGGAGCCGCCCCTTGCGACGTGTCCCAGGGCGGTAACCAATCCAAAGCCTGCCCCGAAAAGATTATGTTCAGGGCAGTGACAAATTAAGAAACACAAATTGGTGGAGAGATGCTTCTCAGCTCTATTCACCTCAAATTATTTGTTAGGAATGATACGCTTGCTTCTCTTTGCCATCTCTTGAAAGCTCGCCTCTCTCTCACCAAGGAAATGGCTCCCAGGCCCCAAAGCTCGTTCCCTGAGAGGCAAAAGAACATGCCAGATCCGGCGTATCCACATGTCGACCAGGGAAACCCACCCACTCCGCTCCGCCTCCCTTCCACAAGAAGTTGATCATCTCCAGGCGAAAGCTTTCGCCTAGCGACCCACATTTGAACAGTCGTCGTGGTTTGGCCTAATGACGGGCAAATCGAATTAGAATGAATTAGATCTCTTTCTTGCTGGTGCTCAGGAAATGACCCAGGGTGATGGGAATGAATGATGAAGGCAACCACAAGGAATGGTTTGGGGCATTCGCTCATTCCCTGCTGAGAACCAGCAAGCTTTGAGAACGTCGGGAAGAAACTGGCGAGTCATGCCACCGTCTTCAAGAAACACATGGCTCTCGCTGCTCTCGCTGCATGTCCATTCTCTCAACGGCTTCGCGCTCGCACGCACACAGAGACACACAAACGAACAAACCAACAAACAAACGAACAAACGAGAGAACGAATAGAACGAACGTCCAGACAGACAGACAGACAGACAGACAGACAGACAAACAAACAAAACAAAAAATCGATCTTAGTTGGCTCTTCCTCTAAACATCTGCAGAGGGTGACATAGACTGGAAAAGGGTGTGTTCAGCTCGCTGTCACTTGACATGTGTTGATTGCGAATCATTTGTCCCTAGAGAGAAAGACGGAGTTTCAGCATGGTCCCCAAAACGCTTTTGTCACCTGCTCTTGGAAGATTCGCAGGGAACAAAGCTCATTCCATGAAGCTCCCCAACCCGCCTACAAAGCCATGGGGACGCACGCCTGTGAACCCCCCGAAGGCCCAGGAATGTGGCTGGGTCCGGTTGGGTTGCTTGCGCTTGGCTCAAAACAAAAATTGTGGGAGGGGGGGGCGCAAGAGATGTTGGCCCAGGTGAAATTGTGCTTTGGGCCGACAAAAGGACTCCCCCTGGGGCCACGCCCCAAGTCCAGGTCACAAGCTGAAGCCAAAAGGCCGCAAGCCATGTCGTCGGTTTCTCCGGTGTGGCGGCTCTGGGGGAACGGCGCTTTGGTCTCCTTTTCAAGGGGTCAGGGTCTGAGGCTGAATCAGGAACGGGGGAGCCCCTTAAACCATGAGTCTCGCAGCCGGAGAGGGCAGCCAGTCCCTTGCTTTAGTCTCACCAGCAGCACCTCCTTGCCAAAGCCAAGCCTGGCCACCCTGTGCCTAGACTGGGGCAAATGGCAGACTTGGAAGCTCCCTTCTTTTCCATTTCATCCTTACAGCCAGTCGTCCAAACAATCTGAGATAGCACGCGCGCGTGCTTCTTGAATTCCATGAGCAAATACATCTGAGTCTGCTCTCAATGTACATCCTGCATCGAATTGTGCAGCTCGAGAAACGGACTTGCTTGCTCAAAGGCTTGGAGACCAACAAGCGCCAGCAAGTCAGAGCTGGGATATTGGCAGAGCCTAGCTTGAGACCTTGGCATGCACCGGTTCCCGGGGTGAATTCAGGGCGAAAGCAGTACAGATTGCTTCAAGGAACCAAGGAATCGTGTCCCTCGTGCTGATTTGTCCCATGGACGATTCGCCGCGCCCGAGTCGCCCGCCAGATAGACCCTCGGCCTCAACCTGGCAGGTCGGTGTCAAACCGTGCGACATCCAAAGGGATTTCCAGGGGAATCCTTGAAGACTGGCAAAAGTGAGGACCTAAAATGCATGATGCATTTAAAGCAAACAAATGTGCAGTTGTGTGGCTGTCGTGCAAAGGTGTCACTCTGGAGGGGGAGGCCAGAACTTGAGATGCCGTGGTGGCACTCCCCACACCTCTTGACACAGGTCGCTTTCACTTCCAACCTTGAATAATAGGAGGCATAACAACTCGCGTCCAACAAATGTGGGTGTGTCTTTTTTGAGGGGGCATTTTGGGGGGGCGCGGGGGTCCTTCTGGGTTTCCTTCCCTCCAAAAACAAGGACAAGCCACCCATGTGTCCTTGCCAGGACCATTCCATGCACCCCTGCCTGGCTCTGCGTCATGGGTTCCCGAAGCGTGGCTCCATCGCCTAAAGCCGATGGCTTGCAGAGCGCTGAAGCTTTCGCGGCTGGCCAAGGGAACGGAACAGAACTGGGGTTGATTCATAGGCTTCATCTAGATGTGTTGTCCATCCACAGTACCAAACCCATCCAAAACGAAAACTAAACAAGACTTTGAGGAAAATTGGGGGGTGGTTCTTGACCCTCCAAAAAGTCCAAACTGTTGGAAACTAAACATTTCCACTCTTGCAAGGTTTATATAAGGCTGTACCAAAGAGCAACCAAGAGATAATCCTGGTACTGGTGCGCTATCGGCGCATGCTCTGTGCCAAAACAAATTGGAACGACCACCTTTCCGGCTGATGTTGCAAAGGAACTCAACATAAAAAGATAGTAATGACACTATATAGATAGCGCGAATGCAATGTCAATCAGTCCAGGTCTGTCCAAGTCACTTCAAGCTAAACAAGATAGATTCAGTATACAGCAAGACAGAGAACGCAGTCCGTATCTCAATGAGCAAAAACCACTTAAAATCGATCCAAGACTTCCTGACAAGCTCAATCTATACTCTATCCTCATAGGTCAAAACCAGCTTGCGAGGCCTTGGCCACTGCAAAGGGCCAGCACAAAATGGTGACCCTTTTTGGACCCATGTTTCACGGCTTCCCATATTTCCTCCTTAAACACTACCCAGGTGGAAGGAAACTCACCTAAATGGGCCCAAAAGGCGACGTTTAAATCCACCAAAGACGGGAAATATCGGGGAGCCGAAAAATCCCAACCCAGTCTTGGACAACCTGACATGCTTCTGCCGAACCCATTTTCATCTTGACATCCCGGGCCTGCTCGTCCGCAGCGGAGATCCAATCGTCACCCTCCGTGCTCAGGCCCTGGCGAAGCTAACATGGCTCAGGATTAGGATGATGAATTATCCCACAATCTAAGGGCTTTCTTACATATCCCCAAGCAACACATATCCAAAAACCAGTCACTGCATAAGGCATGGCTTGAATGCAACAAGGATGTTTAACAGGACAAGCCACATGAATCCCAACAGTTCTACCAGAAACCGACGGCCCACCCAAAACCGATACCCTGGAAATATTGCACGTTTTGAACAACAGCCGACCATCTGCCGTTGCCTGGAGTAGGACTCTATGAAGCATGAGTACGCCATGGATCCCTACGCCTTGCAATTGCCTCAACTCCATTCTAGGCCGGACATAGAACTCCAAACTCCTATGATTAATCGAGCTTTGTTCTTGACTGCATTAAACAAACGCACTTGTTTTCAGGCATGGTGCAATACAAGACACTTGTATTGCCGAAGCCATTTTTGAGTCGGTCAATCACTTGACTAGATATATCAATTTCAGGTAGGGGCCCGGTGGATGTGGGGCCATCCTATCCCGCTCGACTGACCTCGGCACATAAGAACCACAGAGTGATAGGTATCTCAATCCCACTTTCGACGCATTTTACATTTGTACACACCCAACAAAAACAAACCTCGGCCAATCCGTGATCGCACCAAGCAAACCCACACTCCAAAGAGGAAAGCCTTGGGGGCTTGAAAATGGCACATAACTTTGTCACATCCCTGCGAAAATTCAGAATCAGCGCTTGGTTTCCTCCATTTTAGGTCTGGCTGGTCGTGTTCAAAGACAAATAAAATTCCTCCGATGTGACCCTCGCCCGACTTTCGAGGAAGCTTCAACAAGGTGTTGGGCCCAGTCCGCCCAAGTCCGCCAAAAGTCACGGCTGGCTCATGTCCAAGTTGCTCTTTTAGCAGAGGAAAGTTACGCCGCGATAACTTTTGAAAGGCCAGTGCCCCTAGAGGTGGTAAATTACACACAAAATCGCATTCTATGTGGAAACATGTCTACATGGATTGTTGCAACATGCAACTGCTGCAGCTCATTCGAGCCAGTGTAGCTGCAATTATCCTAGCGTCTTCCTTGTCATGCCTTGGGTTGTGTCAAAAGGAACTGAAGCACGTGTCTGCAGGCATCTGGCCCCAACCCCGCAACCCCCCCCCCTCCCCCCCAAAAAAAAGAAAACTGCACAGTTAAAAGCAACTCGAGGAGCACCAACAAAACAAACAAAGCCCTGAAGGAAATGCTTTGGACGTGCCAAATACCTTGTGTCTGGTACAGCCAGCACGCGCCGCAACATCACTACAACCCGGACACGCACCGGCAAGAGCATGAAGAGCATGAAAGTCATGAATGCCATGAAGGCACTGAAGGCCATGAAGAAGTGAGCGAATGCACGGTAGGAAGCGCTTTGTTTTACAGCCGGGGGAATCACACTGGATATGCCCTCAGTGTGTACAAGACTGTACAACAGAAGTGCCACTAAGTGGTCAGCCCAGGATGGTCAGGTGACAAAAGCAAATCTGAGTCAAGGAAATCCAACAAACCATAAACTCGAGTAAAACCAAAAAACAACAAACCCTCGAAGAAAACACAAAAACAAAAACAACAAAAGAAAATAAGACGAATCCCCAAGACAGAAGGTACTGGCAATCCCAAGACATGTCCGCCAGAGCTATGGGTTCTAATTTGTTGTTTTGTTGTTTTTCCTCGAGGCTTCTTGTTTCTTTGGTATTTCTTGAGGTACCCCTGAGACACAGGGTACTGGCAATACCAAAACATGTGCCCCGGAACTGTTCATGTTTGTCCTTTTTGGGCTTTACTTGAGTTTCCCCTCAGATAAAGGGTACTGGCAATACCAAAACAGTTCCTCCAGAACTATGGCATTTTATTGGTTTTGGTTCTCTTCGAGATTCTGGTTTGAGTGTGTGAGCAATGTAGACATTCTCACCTCTCACGACACGGCGTTCTGTAACTTTTCTGCCGCAAGGTGGGCCTCTGCAACCAGCCTTCTTTGGAGCCTCCCTTCGCCATCGGCCCAGCCTTGGCGACAAGGATAAGATCCTCGCTGGGCCTCAAAAGCACCAGCTCCGCGCAGTCCCGACCACGGAGCCGGCCGTTGTAGAGGTACTCCTGCGAGAATCAGAGGCCATTTCTCACTGGGCTGTGCTGCCTGGACTAGCTCCACTTGAGACATCTAATCCGGGGTGCAATTTGGCACTTGCATGGCAGATAAGGATCAACCCCAAGGCATGACTCCCGTTTTTCTACCGAACATAACGATGGTTACAAGTGGGACAGATTGAAAATCATGGTGACGGAAACATCCAAGCAACCCCCTCCCTGGCAACTGGGAGAGTCCTGGTCAATGGCTCATTGCTCTCTTTCTGTTAAGTTGATCCGCTTTTCTTGGTCAAACATCCTGGTCAATCAATGGCTCAGTTTTCTTCTTCTGTTTGTCTTTCTTATTTGTTTCTTCGTTGAGGGCTAGCCGTCACTTCTGGTTGGTCTTGCCTCTATTTCGGCATGCGAACCAATGTTTGCCATGTCGCCAATTTCGAGATTTTGCCCCTCCCTCTCTTGTAAAGAGACTTTTGTTGATGGGACGAAAAAGTATTTGCTTCGGCAGCAGCTGTGAAGCGGCACTTGAAATTTACGTGATCAATGGGAAGAATTGGTTCACGGACTCTGCGAAGCCAGTGCGGTTTCGGTGAGTGCAACGTGAACCTGGATACCCATCGAGTCCTTCGCAGGCTAACACGCTGTCAACAGAGAGCACACTGTCCATCTTCTCTGAGACTCCTACGCCCTCAAGACAACAGCTGCAGTAGGCATTGGTGGGACTCTCTTCTGCCCTGCTGACTCGCAATCTCGCCGTTTCGCCATTCCTTGCCCATGAGCTTCTGGTGCCACTCGATGAGCATCCGCATCATGGTGGTATTTGTCCGCATGCCCATTGCCCTCAGAAGGGACAACTCCAAAACAAGAACTCAGCGCTTCTTCACCCGTGCTTCACACACAAGTTTTGACTGAGCCACAGGGGAATGCGTCAATGCCGTGGACCCAAAACATTGCGTGGTGTTCCATTTGATGCCCATCCAAAACCCGGGAAATTCCAACCTTCCAACGCTGAAAAAACGACACACGTTCGAGGTGCTCCAATCGCTCGGAGATGGAGACCAGCACCTCAATCAGTCGGCTGATTCGCAAGCTGGATACGTGGGTGTGACTTTTGTCATGCATAGCCTGTGGACATCCAAGTTCGGTGGGGATGAAGTTGTCCACCAACCACTTTTTAGGTGGTTTCAATCTGAAAGTTCATGGCATGGGAGGAACCTCTGAAGGAACCCAGGATTCAAACAGAAGCCCCCAAGGTTTTAAAGGGAACCCAGAAATGCCTGGACAATTGAAATTCACCCAAACAAATACCCAGGTCACGTCTTTGAAAAGAGCATTGGACGGCTGGACATCTGACCGATGCTGCGACTTTTCTCGCAAGGCAACTCTCTTGAGCACTCAGGTTGGCCAAACTCGGCCTGAAGAACCGGCCAGAATCAAGCCGCCTCCCTACTGTGGATCGAAATCCTGTACCCAAGAAGCCCTGGAATGACCAACAATGGTTTCCCATGGTTTCAGAGTGCGAATGGACGTCCAGTCTGCTAAACTTTAGAGCCCATGGCAGGCCATCCCGACCTGGGCCTGGGCTCCCCAGCGCACAATCCCCAGCCAATGTCGTCAGTGACCACCCGGTGCGTGGGGTGCGGCATAACCCCCTGGTTGCTGCGCAGCACCGGGGTCCTTCCGGTAGAAACGCGGATGGGGCATTTGGAGGCGGCAGCCCAAATAGGGTAGAAAGCCAGAAACTGACTCCCTCCCATGCATCGGTTAGTCAGGTCCTAGGTCCGCAAATAGCACTCTTGCTTTGCTTGGGTTCGAGCCACACGTGGCTTGAAACCGTCCTGGCCATGGAGTAGGCCTTGTTAGTGCCCACCATCTTGGCCATGGTGGACCTTGGCACTCCATGAAACCGTCGACAGGTCGAGCCATGTACCCTGGAAAAGGCATCCGCAGAGGCGCTTTTTGCAGACTGGACGAAACCCATTTCGCACCAGTGGGATTGGTAGCTGAGGGTTTATCCATCCCAACGAGTGCAGGACGTTACGATTTTCTCCATCCACGGTATGTTCAATCCCCAAGTAGAGGACCTACATCATGGTGAGCTTGGTTTTCTAGGTGAGCTGGCCATAAACCAAATAAAACAGACACCCGTTATTAATATACACGTGATGTACCAAGTCCCATCTGGTTTGCTGGTGTGAATGTGCAAGGGTACAACCTAGGCCCTAAGGCAATTGCCTGGTTTATCCCTGCGACCAAAGTGATGCAGACGCAGCCTGCCCAAAAATGGCTTGGGCCATCATCATGCCTACAAAGCGATTCAGCACGACGTTGACTTCAGGACGCCAACGCAATTGGGAGCCCCACCAAGGAATTGCATATGGATTCCAACTGAAGTCCAGTGACATCAAGCAGTTATTGTCAGAAAAAACCACAGGAGCACGGCATCCCATCCTTGGCATGAACTAGACAGCCAGGCGCAAATTCCACTCTGCCATACGACTCAAAGCACTGATCCTCAAACTCGGAGCCTCGCTTTCTAACTAACTTCCTGACCACCGACATCAGAGTCCCTGTTGAAGAAAAATAGTCTTCCAGCCCCCCCCCCTAGTCAGGTTCCATGTTGGTGGACGGGAGGACAACAATACACCGTCGCCCTCAGGCCTTGGTCGAAAGCCGTTATGACTGTCCAGAAAAGAAGGAAATGAAAATGTTGGACCTTCCTTGACTGACGGTTGAACTCGGAGAATGATTCGCGAGTACACGGTGAACCTTCATTGGTGAGAGAGTGAACGAGGGAAGCATGACCACCGCCTTCTACCTCCAACTTCCGGATCTTGATGAAACCAGCGGTGGATCCAGGAATACTAAGATATGGCGGTTTAAAGGTAGCGAGAGATAGGACAGAGGACCATCAATCTCAGAGATGAACCGCTGTTACGACCAAAAAGCATTTCACATTGTGGAGCCTTGAAAAGCAAGTTGGCGAGCGGGGATTACACTGCCTGCGAAGATACCCAGGGATAGAAAGGAAATGAGTGGGTGGGGGCTCTCTCTTTTCAGCCCTCTCAGTCGAACATGTCAAGTCGGATCCCCTCTGAGAGTGGTTTTCCAGCGGGGTAGGTGAAGCATGTCGGGTTTCGGAAGACTAGGCTGATCCCTTATCTTTGAGCTTCCCGATAGCATCTCGGTGCCCTGAAAACCTCCGTCGAGCTGCTTGTCCGCAATCTGGTCACCGTATTGCTCCAGCAGCCGAGCAGCCAGCGGTATTACGTGGCTGCCTCGGGTACGTGTGGCCTACAGAAAACCCAGGCATCAAAATTACGGATGGACAACATCCTGCACCACTTGGTAGGTGACTTACCCTAGTATTTGTAGAGTATCATCCATTCCATTCGGTGCAGGATCTCCTCCATCCACTATGTTGACCCCTTGCGTGAAAATCAAGCCATCTGGAGGTCCCTAGTTTTGACACGCAACAGCATACGGTGATGGAATGTCCGTGAAATGTGAATCACCTCTCCCCAGCCTGATTTGGGGCTCTGCAGAATCCTGGAGGGAACCCAAACGCAAGCCTATGACTCCTTAGCCCGCTTCATATCAGCGATCCCTCCAAGCCTGAATGGATACAAGACACACATTGCAACCACTGTAGTCACTGTAGCCACATCAACAAACAAGCCAGTCGAACCATCATAATCCACTCAAACTGACGTCCAAACAAAATGCGGGTCCAATCATGTACCCAAGCGGCCATGCTTTCTGGGGAATAGCATTGAAGCACTAAGATCAAACAAGCGTGCAACCCCCTACATCGAGATCCCTCCACACACCTGATCTCATCGCTTACCAAAGGGCCTTCAGGGCGCTCGAAGCAAAGGCCGCCCTTCTTGCTACCCGAAAAGAATTTGGGAGGGCGTTCTCCCCAAACGCTAGCCCGAGCGCCCAAACCTTCCTAAAACCTACCCTCCAACCTGCACCCACCTTCCCAACCTCCACCCACAACCTGCCCCAAACCTGCCCCAAACCTGCCCCAAACCTGAACCTGCCCAAAGCCCGCCGCTCGGCTCCCGCTCGGCTCCCGGCACCCCTGGCAGCCGGTGGCCTGAAAGAAGGCCTCCTTCAGGGCCTGGAGCTCCTCGAAGTCTCAAACCCAAAGCACCAATTGTGGATAAATCGTATACAAAAAAGATGCAAAAAGAGGCAAGCCATTTATGGATAAATCCAAATCCCCTTGACAAGCATTTTTTAAGAACTGCCGCTGATGTGTTTCTTCCCAAAACAAAACTTTTGTTTGCCGTGCCGCTGAAGTATCAAGTCCAACTCCGGAGGTTGAGCCTATGGTTGTTGTGGAAACCCCAAGCGAAAACACTTGTTTGACCGCAGCACACCAGAAGCAAACATAACTAAGACTCTCAGACCAGCAGGACCGAGTTCTGGCTTTCTCATGGCCTTTCCAGGCATCAGGCATTCCAGGCAACATAGGATCGTATGACATCTTTGCCCCGAAAACTCGTGCCACACCTCATTTGCAATCACAACCAAAGAACATGATCTACCTGAAACCTAAAACCATGCAACGAATCAAAAGTGCGGGTGCACCGTCCCTTCTTCACTTCCGGGTGTCTCGGTCCTCGTCCAGCACCTCCAACACCTGCCCTGCCGTCTCATCCTGAGAGAGAGAAAGCGGTCTCAAGCCGACATGTTCCGACATGTTCCGAATGCAATGCATTCAGCTGATTCAGCTGATTCAGCTGATTCAGCTGATTCAGCTGCTTGTAAACAAACGAGGGAAACCCCACCCTGGCGCGATCGAGCCGCCTTTTGGGGAGCTCCTCCACCGGCACGGGCTTGGCTTGGGCTCCCTGCCATGTCACGGTAAAGCCACTCCGGCGGCTCCTCCTCCTTCGTTAGGGGCCTTGCATCGCGTCTCATGCACCGCTCTGAGTCGACCAAAAAGGGATTCCAGAAGAAACATCTTCAAAGGGAATTTCAAGTGTGTGAAGGGCATCCCTTATCTCCCAACAAAAAGGAAATTCACATACATTCCCGTTGGAGTCCGAGGCCCCCTGCTGGCCCTTCCAGTTTCGGAACATGGCCCAATACCTGGCAGGATGAATGATCTGGTTGGCCGGGTTGAAGACAATGGGGCCTCGGCTGCGGGTTTGCCAGGTTTGTAAGGCTATCCTTTTTCACCTTCGTTTCCAAGGAAGCGAAAAGGAAGCCGTGCCGTATTCATTTTTTGCAGGAGTTTGACTCTTGCCCATGTGCTCCACGAGCAGATATGCTCTCAACACAATGCCTACCCTGCCAGGGATGTAGACCCTTAAAAATTGATCGGCTGGATTGGGGCGCTAAAGCGCCCCGATACTGGATGCGCAAACTCCTGGTGCCCGCACAGAAGTCGGGCAAGAGCTCGATCTGGGGCTCCCTGGCCATCGAAACCGAGTGCAGGTTTGCGGGTCAAACACAAAGGCCCGGGTCGCACTGGTCGAGTTCTGAAAAGAGCTAGCCAAACACCGGAACATAGTTTGCTCACACCTGCCGGAAACTGAGAGAGGCTGTAAGCACCCTGCATGACGCTTTGCACTGTAGGAAACCTCTCGCAGTGCCTTCACCTGGCCTTGCCAAGCTTGGACTCTGAGTGCATCGTGTCAGCTGAGCATGTAGCCGAAGCCAGCCGGCGGCTCCTGGTCTTCTGGACCAGAAAGAGCGGCTCCAGCTCCGTCTTCACCTCAGCGAAAACCAGCTTCCCGTTGGCGGTCGACCCAAAAAAAAGAAACTCTAAGTAGAGAAGAAAACACACCGAAACATGATTGTTTAAAGGGTCAGGGTCAGAGAGAAACCAACTTCCGCAAGTCGATGCCATGCTCTTCACCCGTGCAAGTCGAAAGCAAAACGGCCTTCGGGTACATCTTTGAATATGCCCGAGATGTACAAAAGGCCCGGACTTGCTTCTCATGGCGAGGATTCCTTCAGCTGCTGCCAAGCGCAACGCCTTTTGAGCGAGCTCGCTGGCTAGCTTGCTTGCAACACGCACGGACTTGTCCAAGCAACATCATTTGCCCTTGAACATGTCGAAGGAAACGACCCCGATGGTCGGACTTTCGCAACCTGTCCCCCAGCTGCGTAAACTTTGACCTTTGGTGGACAATATTTGCTCGGATTCATGTCTACCAGCCATTGAGTGGTAGGAACACCCTCGCCAATTGGCTGGTGGACATGAATCCAAGCAAATAACGTCCAAAGCCAGATGTTTTCTTCTGGTTGGTGATCAGCGCTCCTAAAAAGCCATGGTCCCTGGCCCATTCCTCGTTGAGGCCCATGGTCATCGCGCCGATCGACGTCTTGGCGCCCACAATCTCACACTCCTCCCCCACCTGCGGAGCGGGCGCCCCGGTTGGATGATACTCCAAAGAACCTACACCTGTCAAGCGACTCCGTGGCAAATTTACCGGAGAAAAAGTAGATGAGACAACCTCCTCATGTTTTCATCCTCCCGACGGAAAGGGGTTTTGCTCCATCTTGCGCCTTGGTGTGGACGATAGATTAGAATCAACTGTGAGATTTCAGCCGGCCTCAGCTTGACAGGGCCAGCGAGAAGAATCAGAGGCTCAGCAAACTCAATATATTGCGACCTGCTTCTTGTCGCCATTGGTGCCATGGTCAGAGCTCTTGATCTGGGGTGGATGGGAACCCTCACCAACCGAGTCGAGACGGCCCCCCGGGCCTTGACAACGCGACAAAGCCACGGGATGTTGCGCAGAGCAAAGAAACCTGAGGCGGGCTTGCCAACGGACTCTGGTGTCTGGAAGCGGCAAAAAAAAAGAGGCCGCCTTTGTCCAAAGGTTCAAAGGTTCAAAGGTCTTTGCCCTCCCATCTGAAGCCGTAAGGAACTCGGGGCCTTCAAAACGAGGCCCTCTGAGTGAAGCAACCCGGCGCCTTCCCCCAAGCTGGGGCCCCCGAGCGTACGTGTGGCCCGAAGGTTCGCTGGGCCAAGAGATGTACCAGACCTCAGAGGGCCGGGCAAAACATTACCCCCCCAAACCACCAGAACAAGCCTCAAGGAAAAGGAGGTATAATATATATATATATATTAATTAATTAATAATATATATATATATATATGTTAATTAATTATATTATATATATATATATATGTGTTGTGTTTTTTTCTTTTTTAATTAAATCACCACTGCCTAAAGGCTGCATCTCCAATTCCAAAGCCCAGAAGGTATTGGGTTAGGCATTGACAAGCTGCTCTGCAAAGCCCACCCCTCGCCAAAGCTGACCCTTGCCCTTCCCTGGCCTTGCGCAAAGATGGTGCCTACACAGGTGCGCTTGGGGTCCAAGTACGGCCGGAGATTCTCGAAGACCTCCTGCCAGAAAACGGTCGGATCCCAAAACCAAAGCCTTCTCGGACCAGCCGCCATCCATAAAATGGAGAGGAAAATTGAAAAGCGTTCCGGTAACAGAAAATCGGAGGACAAGGGCGAAGCACAGCCATGAGCCAAGTCCCGTGCCCTAAAGGCGCCTTCGTACTGGTCACTGGCCCCGTCCACAGCACGATGTCAGACTCAGGGATGAGCCTCCAAACCGGTCACATCCGGCTGATGTGAGGCTTTTTCAAGTCTAAAGTACTTCCACTCTGTCTGGGTTTCCTCGATTGAAACTCTCACAATCGCCATGATACCCATGACAATCCGCAGGTACATGATTCAAGTAAATGAAAGTGCTTTGACCCGGTTCCACGAACTGAGGCCTCCGGCTCTGCTGGGTCCTTGGAGACCTTGTGCAAGAGGCCAACCTGGTTTATCCCAGTGGTCAGGATGACGTCCACCCACACCATCTGTTTTTCCCATGCTCCGCAGTTGTTTGATCGGCCTCATCTTGGCAAAGCACGATGCAACCACTCTTGCAGCTAAAATGATTCCATTTCTGTCTGCTTTGAGCCGTGTCCAGTCTAAACAGCCCAGCCAAACGTCCCCAGAAACCAAGTGAAAAGCTCATGGGATTTCCCAACTCCAAAGTGGGAACCCACCTCGCCTGGGTCTGGCCATCTGGAAACCGGACCTGCAGTTGAGCCAATGCAAAACGAATCTGCCCAACTTGGCCTCTCCGTAGTTGTCATTGGCCGCCGAATTTGCAACTGCCTACGCCAAGAATTAGTTTGCACTGGCTCCGATAGCTACGGATGGCGGACCATTGAACAACCAAGACTCGCAATTCGTACGAGGAAACCAGCAACCCTGTTTTCACCCGTGTTTTCACACGTGTTTTCATACATAATATGTCCGATCGGTCCATCGGTCGGGAGATCGGAGCCTTGGGCCGCAAGTTCTTGAAGAGCTCCGGGCGGCTGGTCAGGAGTTGAACCTTCACCCGGCCTGAGACATAGGAAGTTCGGACGGTCCAGCCAGAAAATACAGGAGCGGCTTTTTTGCGGAACCCCACAGAACCATTTTTTGTGCATCACAGAATGGGACAAATTCGAAACCAACTTGAAGGGGTCGACCCAAATCCAGTGGTGCCCGACAACAGGCCCTTGAATGGAGAACAGAATTAAACAGTGCGTGGCAAAAGGCCACATAAAACAGAAATCGAGGTGGAGCCTCCAACCACACACCCATTTAGCACATGTAGCACATGATCCTACGTCCGGATTCTCACGCTGTCTCGCTTGAAGGAATACAGCAAGCTGCAAGGACCTGCAAGGTTGGGAGCATCCACCCCCGAAGAATTGAATCGGAAAACCGCGATTTGAATTGGCGAACCGGCGAGGCTACCAAGACTTTTGCCAATACACATCGCTTCTTGATAGTCCCCATCGCTTCCATGGCAACGTTCAACGCACACAAACAGAAACAGCATGTGCTATTGCACTAGTTCAGAACATCCAGGTGTGGTTCTGATACCAATTCCCTCGGACGTATCACGGCACTGCCCATGCAGCCCACATGCCTTGGGTATTGCCATCGATCAGCGCTGCGCACACGTGGCCTCGGTAACTGACAAAGTGCTGGCCAAGTCAACCTGAACCCAGAAACACGCGGATGAAAATCAAATGAATCAGAAATCCTCTCGGAAGATGCAAAAATGTGACTCTCTTTGACTCTTTGATAGTTTGGTTTGATAATACTTCGAAAGCAGAATCCCCCCCCCCGCTCAACACGGCAAATCGTTCATCCCCGACCACGAAACTTAAAGGTCCAAAAGCCTCCAAGAGCCTCCAACCGCGGCCACGCTGGCAAAAGTACAGCCTTCCAAATACATTTGCAATGGCAGGGCCTCTGGAGGAGCCCGACAAAAGTTTGGCGGCCTTCAACCACCTCTTCAGTTCTTGTTTTTGTTTCCTGCACTTGATGGAGCAGGTTTCACGATCGAGCAGTTTGCAACGTGGCAGCTCCGGGTAAAGCCCACGGATGTCCAAATATCCCACGTCCCCATGGTTTCATCTTGCTCAGGGCAAAGGCACCAGGCTTCACTCTTGGCAGGGCCCCCGTGCCGCTGTTCCCCGAAGCCACCAGCGTCACCACAGGACGACCGGCACAAGGAGAGGCTGACACACCACCGCCAGCGCCTCGAGTTCCCGTTTGGCAGGGAGAACTCATGAACCTCCGAAAGGGTCTTTGGGATCAAGCACATAACACAGGAGTGAAGGGCACTGCTTCCTTGACAAGAATCACGATCTGCTTATCTTTCTTACGCGATTTCCGGTGGGTTCATTTTTTGAGCATGCCGATTTGGAAGTATCCTTTTACATGATTGTATCCAACCTTTGAAAACCTCTGAGCACTTCAAACACCTTACGACTCATCTTGGCGCCTCTTGAATGCCGCCAAGGTGCATGAATCGGCGCACAAATGCCACAACAATGTCTCTAAAGGATAGAGGTTGATTCAAAAGACCTTCAAGCACCTCAAGCACCCAAGCACCTCAAACACCTCAAGAGCCACAATGGCGTTTGTGGTTGCATGGACTCGGCATGCAATCAGGCTGGATATTGGATAACATGTGTCAGTGATCAAGCAAATGCATTGCGAGCCTCTAGCTTGTGGCGATCAAGCAAATGATCCAGCCACCATCTGCTGCGTGAATCAGCTTGTGTCTTCTGGCAGTAGAGGAGTTTAGATGCAAATCCATTGTCAGGCGCCTCTTTGATTGGCAATGCTGCATACGGTATACTCGCAAATGGGATCCTGAAAACCATCGCAAATGGTATACTCGCAAAGGAAATGGTTACATTGCTGGCGAGGAGTCTGCGCCAAAGCGCAGCCGGCGATGGGCTTTTGCAGCTCCTTCTGGCAGTCCAAAGTTATGTGGTTCGCTTACCTTCAATAACCTTCTGGCTGCGGGGACCATGCCACCCCCCCCTGCAGTCTTCGATCCGTGTTGCTTTTGGATGTTCGCGAGTCTTTAGGTGTTGCCAAAGCTTGCTGACACAACTCAGGCCAAACCGGGCGAAGAACTCACAAGGAGGTAGTAAAGAGGGAGGTTGCCTCAAACTGAAGGGACAGCACCCAGGGCCACCTATACACCATCCCACTTAAAGGGAACTCACTTTCATCTGGCACCTGATTTCGAAGAGCAGCATACAGGGAAACAGGAAAATATCGTGGACATGCCGGACAACCGCAAACCGCATGCAAAAAATTGAGAAACCTCGCACCCGAAACACCTCCAACCGATTGTCCGACCTGGAACCTGCGCCGGGCGCAGATGCCCTGCGAGGCGCTGCACGCGCTGCATCTCCATGGCTTACTTGACGCCGAGAGAAAAACGGCCCCTTTGGGTTTGGCCCAAGATTCGTGTGGCCCTTGTTCCGAGGAATTTGCCTGGCAAGTTGGGTCATGACTGGAGTAGTGGTCTTGGTGATTGTTGTGCATCCGAATGCCGTTTCTCTCTCTCTCTCTGTTGGTCATGGCCCGTGCCATGGTCCATGCATCTTCACATCCCCCATTTGCGCTGTGAGCCTCACAAGCATTCGACTTCCGCGGCACTTCTGGACACGTCCCTTACCAGGGCTCGGCAGCCCGGACGCAGTTGCTTTTTTTGCAAGAACTAGCACCTGCAAATCCAAACTTTGCATGCCACTGGATGCGCCTTCGCAAGGCACGGCACGGCGCAGGCCGCCACCCAGCTTCTTTCACACGCGTTCCTGGGTTAGCCACTGGCGTCGATCCCCTTTTGCAGTGGCTCGCCCTCGGCCAGAAGCACCAGCTCCAGCTCCCAATGGATCAAAAATGAATGCTAATTAGTCACAAAAGACAAAAAAGAGTTGTTCAATTACGTCGATGTACGTCTGTTTAACTCACGCTTATTCATATCGACATCAGTTTCTCTGCTTGCTGAGACATCTCCTCTGCTGAAAGACCTCGGAAAAGGTTGCCGGTTCGGTACTTTTTGAGTCAACTTGCTGGCCCTTTCATGCGTCGCTGGCATGCTCGAAGCTGGTCTCCCCAGACAGTGAGATGCACTGCCACCCCTCAAAAAACACGACCCCTTCTGTGTGCGCATGGAAAGTCTGGGAGCCTGGCAACTCACATTGTGACAACGGGTGATACTCACTTTGCCAACTCCCAGGCCATCCAAGGGGTGCGGACATATTTCTGGATTATTGTCCTTTGATTTCTGCCTTTTGTTTTTGCTTTTCGTCCCGAGCAGTACAATGCCGTTTTTCTTGTTTTTTTTTGGTTTTTTTTGGTTTTTGTTTTTTTCAACATCCCCAGCTTCGCACTCCAAAACCCCTAGCATCCCCAGCTGGTCGTGGCTTTAGGCGGCAGCCACCCCCCCATCCCCATGATGATCGAAGAAGTGATGATTCAACAAAAACCAGGCAGCCCCCCATGATGTTCAAAGCAACAATGATGTGTACATACAAACATACATACATACATACATACATACATACATACATACATACATACATACATACATACATACATACATACATACATACATACATACATACATACATACATACATACATACATACATACATACATACATACATACATACATACATACATACATACATACATACATACATACATACATTACATACATACATACATACATACATACATACATACATACATACATACATACATACATACATACATACATACATACATACATACATACATACATACATACATACATACATACATACATACATACATACATACATACATTACATACATACATTACATACATTACATACATACATACATACATACATACATACATACATACATACATACATACATACATACATACATACATACATACATACATACATACATACATACATACATACATACATACATACATACATACATACATACATACTACATACATACATACATACATACATACATACATACATACATACATACATACATACATACATACATACATACATACATACATACATACATACATACATACATACATACATACATACATACATACATACATACATACATACATACATACATACATACATACATACATACATACATACATACATACATACATACATACATACATACATACATACATACATACATACATACATACATACATACATACATACATACATACATACATACATACATACATACATACATACATACATACATACATACATACATACATACATACATACATACATACATACATACATACATACATACATACATACATACATACATACATACATACATACATACATACATACATACATACATACATACATACATACATACATACATACATACATACATACATACATACATACATACATACATACATTACATACATACATACATACATACATACATACATACATACGTACATTACATACATACATACATACATACATACATACATACATACATACATACATTACATACATACATACATACATACATACATACATACATACATACATACATACATACATACATACATACATACATACATACATACATACATACATACATACATTACATACATACATACATACATACACACGTGCATGCGTGCGTGCGTGCATGCATACATACATGCATACATGCATGCATGCATTCATACATACATACAACCATACATTACATACAATACAATGCAAATTAATTACACTACACTACAATAGCTTATGTTACGTTACATTACACTGCATTACATTACATGAATTACATACAGTACATACATTACATACATACATATACACACACATACATACATACGTACATACATACATACATACATGCATGCATGCATGCATGCATGCATATCATACTACATACATACATACATACATACATACATTACATTACAGTACAGTACATTACATTACATTACATTGCTTCAAATTACATTACATTACATTACACTACATTACATACATAGCTTGCAATACAATAAATTACATACATACATACATTACATACATACATACATACATACATGCATGCATGCATGCATACATACATTAAGTACATACATACATACATTACATACATTACATACATACATACATACATACGCACATACATACAGAAATACCATACCATATGATACCATACAATACAATACATACATTACCTTACATTAAATTACACTACATTACATTACATGACGTTACAGTACATTACAGTACATTTCATTACAATAAATTACATACATACATACATTACATACATACATACATACATGCATGCATGCATACATACATTAAGTACATACATACATACATTACATACATTACATACACACATACATACGCACATACATACAGAAATACCATACCATATGATACCATACAATACAATACATACATTACATTACATTAAATTACATTACATTACATTACGTCACAGTACATTACAGTACATTTCATTACATTACATTACATACATACATACATTACATAAATTACATACATACATTACATACATAGATACGTACGTACATACATACATGCATGCCTGCATACATACATTACATATCTACATACATACATACATACATACATTACATTACATTACATACATACATACATACATACATACATACATTACATGCATACATACATACATACATACTTACATTACATACATTACATACATTACATACAGTACATACATTACATACACTACATACATTACATACATACATACACATACATGTATGCATACATTACATACATTACATACATTACATACATACATACATACATACATACATACATACATACATACATACATACATACATACATACATACATACATACATACATACATACATACATACATACATACATACATACATACATACATTACATTACATACATACATACATACATACATACATACATACATACATACATACATACATACATACATACATACATACATACATACATATTACATACATACATACATACATACATACATACATACATACATACATTACATACATTACATACATTACATACATTACATACATTACATACATTACATACATTACATACATACCATTACATACACACATACATACATACATACATACATACATTACATTACATTACATTGCATTGCATTACATTACATTCCATTACATTACATTACATTACATAC